TGTAGTTGTGTGGTGATGACAAATTGTGCTTGTTTGATGTTGCTGCTACTGGTGACTTAAGTATTGGTGAGGCTACAAAAGAAACAGGAGATGATCTACAAATTTTAGAAGAAATACTTCAACCAAGTAAAAATATTAAAACTAATGTCTAAATTTTGGTACTTGAATTTTTCTTAAGCTGTTTGTGATCCTCCATGCACCAATGGAGCATGTGTTGGTAACAATAGTTGCTTCTGTTCTGAAGGATATCAAGGAATAGCTTGCAATCAATCAGGTAGTGTAATAGACTAATTATAATGTGGTACTTGATGTATTAGACATGTCATATTGACATTAATATTATTTCTAGTACTTTATGAATGTGAAGAGAATGTTTGTGTGAATGGAGGGACTTGTAGTTTGATTGCTGGAGACACTGTATGCAGTTGCTTAGATGGATATACAGGAATTAATTGTGGTACATTTATGGTTATTAAAATCAATACATATTATTATTTTAATTGTAGAAGAATTAATCTCAAGCCCGACATCTTCTCCTTCTCTGACACCATCATCAGCCTCATTGTCTGTGCTTCTTGTGATAGTTTTTGTTGCTTTGACTGTTATTATTGGAGTGATTGTTCTTATACTGGTGGCAATATTCTGTGTACAAAGGATGAAAAGAGATCTGAAGAATCCTCCTCAGTCACCAACAAAACCTATACCTTTAGATGATGATCCTGAAGCAGATCCCGAAGCATATGAGTTGGATCAGCGTTCTCAAGAACAAAAAGATAAAGATTAATTGCTGACAGAATAATACTTTGCTGCAAAATTGTCATGTCTTGTATGTAGTTTAGTTTGAATACTTTTAGTTATGCTAGGCTTTTGGAAAAGTATTAGATAGCTTATCAATTTTAGTGAAATTATTCATGAATTGATTGTAATGTAATATCCTCGACTTAGTATTATGACTAGAGAATATTTTACAGTAATATAAAAGGAATTGAATGAGATTTTTTGAGACGAGAAGAGGCACTGGATTCAGTCGTGAGCGAGGTCATGAGTCATATTAAAACAATTAAGATTGAAAAAGATAATTTGATGCAATAACATTTTGTTAGATCTAGAAGTTAAAGTACAAATGCATTTTGTCAAAAATGCACATGGCTTGATAATACGTACTTATACATTATTATTTTTAAAAACATAAAATTGGTTAAAATTTAACAGACTAGCCATTCAATTTTTATCATTAAAAATTAAATTAACTTTGAATAGAAGAGGTCAGTAAGACGAGTTTGTAGCTCGGTTTCGGTTATAGCCTTCATGAGGTCTTTTCTACAGAAAATATTTTAAAGTATGTTCTTCTAGGTGTTCTTTTTTATTATATTTTATCTTAGGGTCTTCATCTTCGAGCTCATATTTGCGTCACTGATTCTAATTAGAATTTGAAGACAAAATTGGCATCTTGATTGGGATAATTGGATCTAAGGCAACAGTAAGGGATGACGCGAAGTTATGATTTTTTTAAAATAAGTGTTTGCGTAGTCTACACCTAGAGTTTGGTTGTCAAGTAGTGCCATGAATCAAAGCTCACGATATTTAGCAAGGTGATGTCACCTGCATTGAGCCTGTACTGATGTTTGCAACCAGGATCAAGATGATTTTATCAGGAAGTATTGGGCTTAACATACGAATATAAACAGATAGTTAAAAAATAGAATATAGATACATGGCTAATAACTAACACGGACGGCGGCTGAAAACAAGAATACACAAAGAAGTATGGAGCTTTGAGAGTATCTCTTGATTCTCTTCAACAGCAACTTTGGTTGTCTTGATCAATATCTGAAGTGGTCTTGATCACTTGATTTTATCTTGATCCTGCTGGATTGAAAGCATTGGTACAGGCCATATGCAAGTGACACTGCCTTGTTAGTATTGATATATACACAGGACCAGAATTGATTCTCATTCATTTGGCAATTTTTTTACTTTTCAAATAAATTTATTTGTGAATTTTACAGGTTTTTGCCAGGTTTTGGCACTAGCCAAGTATTAGAGTTTCTGAGTATTATTTATTTGATAAAAGACTAGTTTTTTATAGCCAAAACGACCAGTCAAAATCTTTGGTTCCCATGCAGTACTGGGACTGTAGATAAAACAGCCTGTACCCTCACCTGTACCATACCAGATGATTTATTGGCAATAGTAAAATGGCAGATTTTATATTGGTGATGTGTAGTATGGTTAGCATGGACTCTGTAGTCAACCAGCCATTAGTAAAATATACGTACCTTGTTCATAATTCATTTTTAGTGTATTACAGTGTATATACATGTAGTGTGTGGGTGTATCAATTAACACTGCTAAGTTATTTTTATTAGATTTGTAAAACAAACTTTTGCAGATATGAGACAAATACTGTAGAGTAAAAATGTGTAACAATGATAACACATGTATGTGCAGAGCCTGAAATAACAGTTTGACATTGAACATTTTCCGATCATTTTGCTTAATTTTCCAACCAAATTCTGTGCTTTTGTATCAGTTTGTCTGAACAACATAATTTTAAAAGTAATGTTATAAATTTTGGTTAATAAGCATTTTAACATAATCATTGTTAATCATGCATGTTTTTACAAGGCATGCTAAACAGCATGTTTCACGGCTACTATACATTGCATTTGGAGCAAATTTTAAAATTTATTAAAATCTAATTTTTATTGAAATCAACTCAAAGCTTATACTGTTGTAAAACAGCGGCTTCACAGAGTATATGATCACTCAAAAGCAAGTAGCTTTATTATGAATCGCAGATAAAAGATTAACAGAACTGACAAAAACAGTAACTACCTAACAACTGACTAACTGACAAAAGACAAAAGGTCACATAACATATAACAACTTATATGTACATAACAAAACCACAATAGAGAGCACTAATAATAACCATACAGATAATAATTATTCTAGAACAACCACAAAAAGAATATCTAGAACATAGAAGAGTAATCAAGATGGTACACATAAACACACATCAATAATAATATATACAATATATAAAAATAATAATATATACAGTTACACAGCTTAAGGGCATGAATACATATCAGAAAAAATTATAAAGTTGGAGACTTTTTCAGCCATTTTGGACAAAATTTGACCAAAATAACATTTTGGTCACTGGCCCAATTTTTGATCAATTTTAAATTATACTAGAATGAACTCAAAATCAATGCACAACATAAGAGCTTGTACGTGAATCAGAAAATGGAGAATCCTCTCCTAGTCATTTTTTGAAATTTGGCCAAAAAAAATCTGTACTATAGTACAGGGACTTTAGGAGTAACTTTAAAAATTCATTAAAAGTCCAAACTTGATCAAAGTTCACTCTAATTTTCTACACAACATAAGAACATGTATATGTATCAGAAAAAGTTATTAAAACTGCAACTTCTTTGTTTATAATTTTGTCAAAATACTCTGCACTAAGGATCTTATTCCCAATTTTTGAGAAACTATACAATATATTAACAAAAAGTTGCATAAAATTATGCACAAATCCTGTGCAAAACCCTTTTGAATCATTTCATATAAATGGTAGATCAAGCTAAACAATGTTGATGAACATTGTTTAAATGTAATTTTAGACTTTGTATGTTGAATTGGAAACAAGGAAATGAATTAAGTTAAATGCCCATGATGGAAAATATTATACAAATAAATTTACATTTTCTGATGCATAATTTATATAACAAGTTGATTCCAATTAACTTGGAGTAAATAGCCATGTAGTTGTTATAACTAATTATTACCCTTGTCACGGTATATGAGTTAGCTTATACTACATTTATACCCTGTTCACACTATCCTTCAGAACTGTACTGGAACTGAGTTTTGGGGAAGTATAGTGTAGTTTCATAACAAGTGTGAACATAGCTGAACTGCACTGTAACCAAACCAAACCAGGCTAAAGTGGTGCACCAAAATAGGTGCTCTGAAATGGTGTAGTTAAGTTTTAAAGTGAATTTGGTGTAGTTAAGTTGTGCAGTGTGAACTGCTACCAACATGGTTCTTTTATAACCAAACTAATCTAATTAGGTACAGTTCTGTACAGCTGGGGAGGTAGTGTGAACACAGTATTACACTAGCTTCTTTAACCCAGCCAGCCCTGTTTAAGTGGGCCAGCACAGTTTCATTTGATAGTGTAAACAGTAACCAAACTGAGCTGAAGTGAGCTGGGCCAAACCAGGCCAGCATGGTTAGTACAGCAGGGCCAGCTCAGCCTGGTTCAGCACGGTTTGGCCCGCTTCTGTAGTGTAAACACAGCATAAGTTGAGGCAGGAAGTGCAATATAAACCAATGGCCAAAATTAACTTATTGGTTTGTATTGCACTTCGTAATCTTTACTTAATTAATTCCTTACCTTACGTTAAGTTTCTAGTGTAAATTAGCCTTGATTATTCACTTATCCTTTGTATATTTATATGTGTGTGTTAAATTAGCAAAATTTGAATCAAACTGCTTCTGGTCTCATGATAAAAACCCTAGTGACTAAAGACTTCTTGGAACAAAGACAACTCAGTCTATTAACTTTTTGTGTAGTTAAATCCTATGTTACATCATAAGAAAGATAACCTGATTTTATTTGAAAGATGTGTAGATTTCCTACTTTTCTTTCCTTGCCATGATAATAAACCATGACAGTATCCCAAGTCAAATTTGACCTTGTGAATCTCAGCAAGAAAGGCAGCCAGTATTTTAAAATTGCCTTAAGGCAGAAATATGTCTGCATGCAACTAGTAGAGCTGAGTAAATGTGTCTCCTTGCATTTAGCCTTAATTGTTAACGCATTATGTTGTCATGTATCTCAAAACAGCTGTACTGCATATACACTATTTACCGTATAGCTCCAAATTTTTGTTGGTCAAAATTTTTGTCAAATTTGTCAGGTACTTTTGCTTAACAAAATTTTTAACTGACGTAATTTTTGTTCCACGTGGGCGGTATGTGGATTAATAACAAAAATGACGAAAATTTTATTGACGAAAATTAATTTTAGCAAGAAATTGAGATTTTGACGAAATTTTTGACTGACGAAAATTAGGAGCTATACGGTATTCTCTTTGTAACAATATTGATAAGTTTGGAGCTACTAGTCTAATTATGTATTATGCCGTTATCATTATGTAGGTTTTGATTAATCTTGTTCAAATATATCACCACTTGCATGCCACTAGCTGCCAATCTGCTAACTGTCAGGTTTCTGGGGACCTTCTCTTGATTATAGTCTATAATAATAGACTAGATTAGTTGTATAGAAATTCATTGCTGCAATTCATTTAATTCTACTAATTTGTACTTGTAAGTGGACTTGTAGCCCTGCAATTCAACTGATTCATTACTGCAATTTATTCCAAAGGAATTTTAACTATTCAGACTATAGTACACTCACTATTATTATTATTATTATTATTATTATACTTAACAGCACAAAACAGAATATAGTGACAAATAAAATTAAAGATGAATAATTATTCTCTGAGCTGAAGGAAAACAGTGAATGACACTGTAGACCATTGGAATAAAATAGACTTGTAGCAATTTGTGCATCAGTTGCTACAAATTATGCTAATCCAATTTATGTGTTGTGAAGGTTGCGCAATTTGTCTCAGGGTATAATACAACTTGTGATACATAATAGACTATTTTTGTATGTTTGACTTAGTTTCACATAGCCAGACCCATTCCCCTTTTTGACAATTTGGATGTCCTAATTGTCAAAAAGGGGGATGGGTCTGGCTAGGTGAGACTATTTTAACAATATTTTTTAATTAGAAAAAAATGTTGCAGTTTGTCTTTTTAATTTTGCTCGTTTCTGCTTGCATTCATTTCACTGAGTCCTGCACTGATGGCTCAGTTAGACTGGTAAGCTCCTTCACTGCCCTGTGCTATCATGCACATGTAACACTTATTATTAGGCAAATCCCAGTCTTTCATATGGAGCAGTTGAGGTTTGCTCTAATGGATCCTGGGGAAGCATATGCAGTGACTTTTGGGATAATAATGATGCCAGTGTGGTATGCAAGCAGCTAGGATATTCTCCTTATGGTATCATAGTATCATTTCAAATAGCATTTCATGTTTTGTGCTACACATACAGGTGCTATAGGATCTGTGGTATCATATGTCAGTTCTAGTGCACAATCACATTCTATCATTGACTTGAACTGTACAGGAAATGAAACCACTATACTATCCTGTCCACATAATGGTCTGGCTAGCTATGCTTGCTCCCTTAACAGAGATGCTAATGTCTTTTGTCAGAGTAAGTGACTCTATAATAGCTATGCATGTCTATTTTTTAATTATTTTAATCAAGATATTGGTACAATTAAAGCAGACTGTACTGAGGGTGAAGTGAGACTGGTTAATGGTAGTACACAGTATGAAGGACGTGTAGAAATATGCATCAATAGAGTATGGGGAACTGTATGTAGTAGACACAGTATTTTGTCTTGGCGGTACTCTTGGGATACACTTGACAGTAATGTTGTGTGTAGGCAAGCAGGACACATGGAGCTAGGTAATTAAAGTACATGAAATACAACTAATTTACTTACTATTTAGGATCAGTTGCATATACTACAGTCAGTGAATTTGGGCAAGGCTCAGGTCCTATACTGATGTCTTTAATTCAATGTAGTGGACAGGAGTCACATCTAATTAACTGTTCCTATTCTCCACTAATACCATCATACTGTTCACACACTTATGATGTTGGAGTCAAGTGTGAAGGTACTTACTATATAGATTATTGAATCTTCATTGCTAGTTGTATCATTGTAGCTCCTTGTGCCAATGGTACTGTTCGTCTATACAGTGATTCAGGTAGCTATTTCAGGAGATATGGACGAGTTCAAGTGTGTGTGAACAATGTCTGGGGAACAATTTGTGATCACTTTTGGGATGAAAAAGATGCAAGTGTAGTGTGTAGAATGCTAGGATACTATCCCTATGGTAACAAATCGCTAAATTTTGCTTCTATGTAGTCTATACTTTCTTTCCTTTGCACTAGGTGCTTCTGCCTTAACAGACTCATATACTGAAGGAACATGGTATATTCACATTAATGATCTTAACTGTACTGGGACAGAGACTTCACTTTGGGACTGTCCTATGAATGGACTCAATGGATATTCTTGTTATCATTATGATGATGCTGCTGTTGGTTGTCAATGTAAGACAGTACATGTATAGCTTCATTGATAAACTGATTTTTAGTGACTGGTGTAAAGTATTCTAGTTGTACTACTGGTGAAGTGAGATTAGTTGATGGTGCTACAGAGTTTGAAGGAAGAGTTGAAGTGTGTGAGAATGGAGTTTGGGGTTCAGTCTGTGCTAGGTATTCATCTAATGATAGAAGTGCTTACACTTTATGCCATGAATTAGGATATCAAGGTAACAGTCATCTATTTTATTGACATGTACATGTGTAGTTATTGTTGTGTAGGTGGTATAGCACTTCCAAGCTCAAACTTTGGTGCTAGTAATAATTCAATTTTTATTTATCATCTATCTTGTGGTGCTTTTCAATTAAACCTAAGCAACTGTTACCAAAAAAAGTATCCACACTATTCTAGTTGGTGGTATAGTGGGTGCAACAATTATCAAGAATTAAGTATTAGATGTGAAAGTGAGAACATAACCCAATAGAATTTGACCCTATACTTTCTGTCCCATTGTCATAGATTCTTGTGTTAGCAATAAAATAGACCTATTTGCTGGCCCTTCTAGTCGTCATGGTAATGTAAGAGTCTGTGTCAATGGTTCATGGGTTATGGTGTGTGGATATGGTAATACTGTCATTGATAATAATCTAGCTAGTGTTGTCTGTTCCAGCATTGGATACTCAGCTTATGGTAAACATTTTTACTATGCTTTGTCCAGTCATTAATGTACTCATGTAGGTGCTAAAAGTGCTAGAGGTTTATGGAATAATTATAACTATCCATATCAGTTTTATAATGTTCGGTGCTATGGAAACGAGAGTAGCTTATTTGAGTGTCAGTATAATACTAAAGAATCATGTCCTAATGAGGACTATGGAGCAATTGCTGTCTTTTGTCTGCTCAATAGTGTGTACCATATACTAATTATTCATGTATTATTTTATTTGATACCATTTAGATGATTATATTCCAGTAAACTGTACAGATGGTGATGTTAGACTTTATGATGGGTCTACACCTAACCAAGGAATACTTCATGTGTGTACTAATGGAATCTGGGGAACTGTTTGCAGTAATAACAATTGGAATAACATTGAAACTGATGTTGCTTGTTTTCAATTGGGGTACTACAGCTATGGTTTGTTTTCATGATAAAAGTGTAAGCCAAAATAAAATCAACTTTTGTAGGTAATTCTTTCTTAAGAAGGACCACTGCTGGAATGTTTCCAATCATTTATTCTTATTTCAATTGTCAGGGTAATGAAGCAATACTGTTGTCCTGTGGCTCTGGACTTCATTCTAATATTCAGTATTGTACTAACAATGCCATTGAATTAAACTGTGAAAGTTAGTCTGGTAAAGTATATGTTTATATTATGCTGTTGTGTCATTAGCAAATTGTACATCTGGTGGCATACGTGTTGTTGGTGGTGGATACTATTATGGTCGTGTTGAAGTTTGTGTTGAAGGAATATGGGGGACTATCTGTAGAGATAGCTATTGGGATAATAATGATGCTAGTGTCATTTGTAGGCAGCTAGGATTCTCTCCTTATGGTAAATTACTATTATTATTATGATCATTAATGAAAATAATGCATTATAGGTTCAATAGCTGTTACTTCTTCCTGGAATAATGAAGAACATGGAATAACTTTTTTAACTGGTTTAAATTGTAATGGAACTGAAGAGAACCTTTTTGACTGTCTAGTTGATGCTAATGCTCCTGTTTGTTCATTTAATAGGGCTGATGCTAATGTTGTTTGTCCAGGTAGACTATATATATACTAAAATTGTTAATGAATAAACTAATATTTTTAGCTCATGGTGTGTCAACCTATTCTAATTGTACTGATGGTGATATTAGATTGATTGGTGGTCGCACAGAATATGAAGGAAGAGTTGAAGTCTGCATTAATAATGCATGGGGAACTGTTTACAACTCTCACTCTTACTATGATTACTACAGTGAATACTTTGCTCAGACAGTATGCAATGCATTAGGTTTTACCTCTCCTGGTACGTGGTATGCAGCTATATATATATATATATATTATTTGAATTCTATAGGTGCTATGTACATGCATGATTATGACACAAATTTTGGTGAAGGAAGTGGTCCCATATTATTGTATACATACTGCTATTCCTCAAGAAATTCATTGTTAGACTGCACCTTACAACCACAGTACATTCCAGATGTGAGTCATGAGTATGATGCTGGTGTGAGGTGTGAAAGTAAGGAATAGCCTGTTTTCATAAATTGAATTATGATTAAACAGTTCCTTGTAAAAATGGTGACATCAGACTAGTTGGTGGTTCTGATCCATTGGTGGGAAGAGTGGAGCTATGTGTTAATAAGACCTGGGGTACTGTATGTGATGATTATTGGGATGACAATGATGCTAGTGTTGTATGTAGGCAAGTTGGATTTTCTGGACAAGGTAATCTATAATTTAGCCTTATTTGTACATCATTAAAGATAATAGGTGCTGTAGCTAGATATAGTTCATACACAGAAAAGCTCAAATCATTTCACATTGTTGATTTACATTGCAATGGAACTGAAGGAAATGTCTTTGATTGTCCTCATAATCTTGTTCAGCAGTACAGCTGCAGTCAGCATCAAGATGCAAATGTACAGTGTACAGGTATCAGCATTCTGCCTCCTAATATGATGCATGAATATATTGAATTTAATAGCACCCAATACCACTAGCAACTGCACTACTGGTGATGTTAGATTAACAAGTGGTCAGTCCCAGTATGTTGGTTTAGTTGAGATATGCTATGGAGGAGTTTGGAAATCAATATGTCCTAGAGGGTGGGATACTCGTGAGGCACAAGTTGTATGTAGACAATTAGGATTTACCTCTATTGGTTAGTTTCCCATTAAAGTAATAGATTATATGTTACTAATCTTTAGGTGCTGAGTCTGTTAATTTTGGAAAAGGTTTCGGTCCTGTACATTCATCATATTTTAGCTGCATTGGAAGTGAAGCCGCTCTCCTGAACTGTAGCTATTACACTTCTTTTTGTGGCTATTCATACCATGCTGGAGTTGAATGTGAATGTAAGTATGACCTGCATCTGTTGTTTCTAAGTATTACTTATATTAGCTCCTTGTATTGAGGGGGCTGTTCGATTAGAAGGTGATGATAAATACAAAGAATTTGGTCGAGTTGAAGTATGTATTAATGGAACTTGGGGCACCATTTGTGACAATGGTTGGGATAATAATGATGCCAGTGTAGTATGCAGACAGCTGGGATGCTCTCCTTATGGTAATTAATACTGTAATCCTTTCTTTGTGTTAACAATGCTATAGGAGCTATAGCTAAAGCCTCATATTTTACAGAAGGTAGGCTACCTTTTCATCTTTACAGTGTGAATTGTAGTGGTAATGAAAGTACACTGCTTAACTGTTCCTACTCAACTACTGGATCTTGCTACAACACTCAAGATGCTGGCACTATTTGTCAAAGTTAGTTTATATTAAATATGACTTATTTTATCAAGAATAAAATTTAGCTGTTGGTGTTGCAAATGGTAATTGTACAGATTATGGAGTTCGCTTGGTTGATGGAGCAACTGCAAAAGAAGGAAAAGTTCAAATATGTCTTAATAAGGTCTGGGGCGCATTTTGCTATAGGGACAATTATTATAATCATGATGTGGATGCTAAAATTATCTGTAGAGAACTTGGATATAACACTGGTTAGTTAAAAATATCACAAACCTATTAATCCTTATTATCTGTGCCACAATTATTTCTTAGGCAATGGAATCACTTATCCTGCTGAGTCTCCTAGTGTAGGTGTTTTGCTGGTAGCTGATATGAGTTGTTCTGAATCTGCTACTAGTATTAAGCAATGCAGTCTAACTCATTACACTAAGTTATCTTGGTGTGATGCTAGACACACTGCAGCAGTTAGATGCCACAGTATGACCAATTTGTGTCTATTAATTTTGATTATTATTGTATTCTGTGTCATTAGATTGTACTGAAGGTAGTGTTAGACTGATACCTTATAATTCTTATCCTAAAGATGTTGGACGTGTTGAAGTATGTGTTGATGGTACTTGGGGTAGTATATGCTATCATCATTTTACTGACAATGATGCTCAAATCGTTTGTAGACATTTAGGATATACTGCATTAGGTAGACTCACTTATATTTCTAGCTTGTTCTAATATTTTTGACTGCTAAAATACTCTAGGATCAGTTTCAATGGGAAGACTCCATTATGATAATGACATTCCCCTTCACATTGTTAATCTTAATTGTACTGGTAATGAAGAGAGTATATGGGATTGCCCCTCAAGTATACAAGGACAGGAATCCTGCACTGTATACTCTGATGTATCAGTTGCTTGTCATGGTATCTTTTTACAAATATTATTGTTACTACATTTAAAATACACAGGTTTTGTTGTGGAGTACTCTGATTGTGCGAATGGTCAGATACGATTATCAAATGGAACAAACAAAATGGAAGGAAGAGTTGAATTATGTTACAATCATGTTTGGTTTGGAATATGTGCTGATAATTATAATAATTATTATAATAATACTGGAACTGTTTGTAACTCAATGGGTCATTCACAAAGCAAGCACAAATTAATTGTAATGATTTAATCTCAAAAATTGTTTATTTTAGGTGCTACAGGATATTCTAGTTCATTTTTGGATTTACCAGGAGTTCCATTGTTTCCTTTTCAATTCTACTGCTCTAGCATCATGGGCTCTCTGTTAAATTGTCCAAAAGAAGCTATCAGTTGTTACAGCAGTGCATCCTCTTATGACTATAAATATTTAGGAGTAACTTGTCATGGTAATATAATTTGTACTTAAAGGTGAATTACATTCTTACAGATAAGTGTATTCATGGTGACATTAAACTCTCAGGTTCAGGGTATAGCTCTATTGGTAGAATTAATGTATGTATGAATGGTGTTTGGGGAACTGTCTGTAACACTGGCTTTGATGATGCTGATGCTAGTGTAGTTTGTGCTCAGTTAGGATTCTCACGTTATGGTAGATATTGCTTTATTGATGTTTTTAAGTAGATCTACTTTCCTTACTGACAGGTGCTTTGCATACTCTGGATTATTATTACTATTATTATAATGAACCTATACTTTTTTATAATTTAAACTGTACTGGAACTGAATTAAGTATTTGGGAATGTCCATTTAATAATACTGCACAGTATTGCTCCACTAGAACTGCTGCACATGTAACATGTCAGAGTAAGTTGCTGATGTTATAAGTTAGTTATAATGTCTATTGTAGTCAGTAATGCTACTGTTGATACTTCATGTACAACTGGTAATGTTAGATTAGTTGGTGGTCCCAATGAGTATGAAGGAAGAGTTGAAATATGTTATAATCAAATGTGGGGAACTATTTGTGATCATTCCTGGGGTACAACTGAAGCTAATGTTGTTTGCAAACAGCTTGGCTATCAGATGACAGGTATTAATCTCTAACATTCTTTTCTCCTTTATATTATTTGTACTGCATGTAGGATCAGTATCATTGCGTGGCAGTTACTATGGACATGGGAAAGCTCCATTTGTTATGGGTGATATGTATTGTTCCAGTAGTCGCAGCTCACTGTTAGATTGTGATCATTACTTTGCAAGTTACAATACTCTGTATTGTGGTATAACTAATGCAGCAAGTGTTGTATGTTTAGGTAGGTATTATAACTAAACATCTTATTCACCTTTAATTAATAATAATAGAATCCTGTAATGATGGTGATGTAAGACTGAGTGGATCATCAGTGACATATGCTGGTCGTGTTGAACTGTGTGTTGAGAGAACATGGACTACACTGTGTGATCAAACATGGGACTTTAATGATGCTGCAGTGACTTGTAGACAACTTGGATACTCTTCATATGGTTAATGCAGTTAGTACCAGTATTAATTAATGTTAATATATAGGTGCTATACCAACATACAATTGCTATACCGAGAGACAGCTGTCATTTGGTATCACAAATCTTGGTTGTAATGGGTCAGAAGAACATATTTTGAACTGCTCATACAGCAATCCAGTTTTGTATAACTGCCTATCACATAATGATGCTGGCTTAATTTGTCAAAGTATTTATAATATAATTATATACTTTAGATAACTGTATAATGTGTTACAGCATCTGCACAACAGTCTAATTGCACTGATGGTGAAGTTAGATTGGTTGATGGTAGTGGTCCTCATGAAGGAAGAATTGAAGTGTGTATTAATGAAGCATGGGGTACTGTCTGTTCTAATGGCTGGAGTAATACTGATGCTAATGTAATCTGTAAACAATTAGGATATCTACCAATAGGTTTGTATAATAATCTGATTAAAGTCAACATTCAATTATTATAGGTGGAAGAGCAAGATCTGGTAGTGTTCATTTTGGTCCAGGAGTTGGTCCAATACTGATGGCTAGTGTTGATTGTACTGGTAATGAGGAATCATTAATAGAGTGTAGGACAAGATCATGTGATGCCACTACTTGCTCTCATTATAATGATGCTGGGGTCACCTGTGAACGTAAGTAAAATATACACTTTATCTATGTATTATGTTATTCGTTCATTCATAATAGGTAACTGTACTGATGGTGAGATTAGGTTAGGTGATGGTGCTGTCCTAAGAGGAAGAGTTGAAGTGTGTATTAATAATACATGGACTACAATCTGTGCTAGCTATTGGACTGACAAAGAAGCTACTGTAATTTGCTCACAGCTGGGATACTCACGCTATGGTGAATAAAATCTTTAAAGGTCTAAAATTATGTATGCATATAAAAGGTGCAGTGGCTACATATGGTGTATTCATTGATTCTGAGTGGCCAATTGGTATATATAAACTTAACTGTACTGGAGATGAAGCAGAAATATGGAAGTGTATGCATCATACTAATGGCAGTATGGATGGACTCAATTGTTCACAGGGCACTGATGCATCAGTATTCTGCATGCGTAAGTAAAAAAATAATAATGACGATGCTTTTAATTTATTTTGCAGCTAATAATACACAGTATATTAAGTGTACCAATGGTGATGTTAGACTTGTTGGAGGTGACATAATGAATGAAGGCAATGTTCAAATATGCTACAATAATGCATGGGGATCAGTATGTGATAACCAATGGGACTCTAGTGACAGTAATGTGGTATGCTATCAATTAGGACTACAACCTTTTGGTAAAAATACTCATGAAAGCTAAAATCTTATTATTATTTTATACAGGCTCACTATCTTTTACTAATAATTATTTCAGTGTCAGTGACAATCCTTCATTTGTGATTGGAGCCTTATCTTGTTCAGGATCAGAGGAATCATTGTTAGATTGTTCAAGGCACACAACTTCTGGTGCATCAATAAACTGTCAGAGTCAAGAAGTTGCTGGAGTTCGCTGTATTGGTTAGCCAATAATCTAATAAGACAATTATTGATTGTAAAATTAGAAAGTTGTACTCATGGGTCTGTACGTTTGCAAGGAACTAGTAGTCATCTTATTGGTGAAGTTGAAGTGTGTATTAGAGGAGTCTGGAGTACAGTGTGTGGAGAAAAATGGGATGACAATGATGCTACTGTAATCTGCAGACAATTAGAATTCTCACCATATGGTATTTATTAATATTCAGCTATTTG